AAACCACTTTGCTTACGTCTGTACATCATTTTTTTTGTGTGTGTGGGGGGGGGGAGGTGCAGATTATAAAATAATATATCAAATATTTTTGTTTTGTCATGCAAAGAAAAAAAAAGGATAGGTTAGGTTAGATCAGACTGGTTAATTAAGAATACTTAAGTAGCGGTTCATTTTTAGTTGATATCACAGTTTTCTATTTGGTCATTTATATATACTTAACAAGTTAGAATTACCGAAATAATAATTATTGTTATTTTGTAATTATCTATATTTAGCATCAAACACACACACACACACACACAAACACACTGTTACGCCGTCTCTTAATTTACTTAAATATCCAGGTTCTAGGCGTAACCAAACCAAAAAAGTGAAGTAAATCAAAAGGGAATAAAAATAAATAAAGTAAACCTTTAAGAATTTAATTAAATTAAATATTAACACAATAAAGAGCCTCGGAGGCTGTCACAACAAATTGATTCACTATCGAAACTTTCAAGACACAAATGATACTAAAACATCGAAACACCAAAAAAATAAAAATATAGCATTGGATTACGTTAACACTGCATAAACATATAAAAACTAACACTGAAATTAACTATCGTGAAACAACACTGAATTACTTAAATGTAACAAAGCAAGCACTGATGGACACATAAGAGACATAAATAGGTACTCACATAGATATACCACATTGGTGGTGACAGGAACAACACAGAAATAAAATGAAGTATAAGTAACAGGTGACAAGTGTCACTCAAAACAACGTGAACTGAATGAGCAGAGGGACTGGACTAAACTCCGTCTGCTGGTGGGTCCTATATATAAGGTCGGCTCCCGCCATGCCGGTGAAACATGGGTCGTTTAACGATGCAGATGGTCGTTAGAGAAATAAAGAATGCTTGTTACAATACTAAATGAAGAAATAAGATGGGCTTGAACAAATAGTAACAGTTAAAACCTTAACAGCACAGGGTAAGGTGACTAGATTATATAATAGTAAATATAACACATCTCCGCCGCAGACACTTTCACAGCCAGGAGGATAGCAAAATAAACTCGACGACCTACTTGACTGGGGATAACAGACACTTGAATTAACTTACTAGCTGGACCTGCTTGTTCCCTTCCCCTCCCATTTCTTCCCCCCCCCTCCCCTACCCCCTCCTCCCCTCCTTAAAACCAAAAACAAAAATTTCTTAGAGCACCACACCCTAAACGGACAAATTACCATCTCATGCACATTAACATAAACTCACTCCATAATTAGCGCAGAGCTTTTTTTGTAAACACTGAATAATAAAGAGATTATAGACGAACCTGATTTTCATACTTGTTTAGGAAGGATAATGATGAGGTTAAAATATTATCTTCTAAAGTATATTTTTTGTACATCAATTAACAAACAAAGACGTGTCAGTGGTGTAAATAAGTCTTATTGGGTGTTGATGCCCTGGTAAACAAAACGTATTGGTGGTCTTAGAGAAAATGGTGATGACTTTTCTACACCTGTTGAAATGTTGTCATTATATGAAGCTGTTAGACTCTCAAACTAAGAATCTCTGAGCCTCTGTTTAACATGACTTTTATGAAGGTGAATCTCAAATTCAACCTTGTTTGCTTCGTTGGGTTCTTGTCTACCTTGTGAGCGTGATGGAGTTGTCTTCAGAACCATTACTACCTAATATAGTTTCTTCCTATATGAGGGTCTTTAAATTGTCTTCACGCACCATTAGAGAGCGTTTTGGGAGAGTGTGTCCCCGAGGTACAGTCACCTTTGGAATGTTGACGACCCGCCGGTGTCTGGTGTGAGATTCTTGTATGAGTAATATCCCTCCATATAATGTAGGTCAGTATAGGTTTAATTTTCAGTTGTGTGGTTCAGTAAATTAACTAAACCAGCTTTTACATTGGTTGAGTCGAGGGGTCTTTACTTTAAGGCGTAACTCTTAATGAGAAATAGTTCACAGTGAGTCAGTGGTCCCATAAGGCATGACCAATGTTAATTAACGAAAACGTATACCTGTAGAAATTATAAGTATTTCGTGTAATAACAATAACACTGGTCTACAAAAATATATATTTTTTTTCTGGCATGAAACCTTTTAACTGTTTTTTACTAACTTTAAGGTGCTGAATCCAAATCTGATCTCAGATTTGCTCCATCACGTAACGTGCCAGAATTTACTGAGCTACCAGAGATTGAGGATATAGACCGGAATTCACCTGTTTCTACTGATGAAGATGAAGAGACTGATCTTTTCAAGCCATCTGGTGAAGATTGTGAAAAGCCAACGTTGTTTACTCAGTCAGAATTGAATGATCTGGTCAGAGATCTAAATTTGCCAAAACAGTCTGCTGAATTGTTAGCTTCCAGGCTTCAAGAGAAACGACTCTTAAAACCTGGCACGAGTGTCTCCTTTTATCGCAACAGAGAAGAGCAACTGCGGAAGTACTTTCATTCATATGACCAGCTTGTGTTTTGTAATGATGTAGAAGGACTTCTTCTCTCCATGGGACTACCAGCATATGATAGTAAGGATTGGAGACTTTTTATTGACAGTTCTAAAAGGAGCTTGAAATGTGTTCTTCTTCATAACGGAAACAAGTATGGTTCAATTCCAATCGGACATTCTGTACAAATTAAAGAAGAGTATGAAAACATTAAGACTGTTCTAGAGAGGTTGCAATACCATGCTCATGAATGGTTAATTTGTGTGGACTTGAAAATGGTAGACTTTCTATTGGGCCAGCAAGGAGGGTACACAAAATACCCATGTTTTCTGTGCTTCTGGGACAGCAGGGCTACAGCAGACCATTGGGTGAAAAAGAATTGGCCACCAAGACATAGTTTGACGCCTGGTGACAAGAATATCATTAACGATCCTCTGGTTGACAGGAAAAACATTGTCTTTCCTCCTCTGCACATAAAACTTGGTATCATGAAGCAATTCGTCAAGGCTCTTGGTCATAGTGGAGAGTGTTTCAGATATATATGCTCAACCTTTCCACGTCTTAGCGACGAGAAGAAAAAGGTAGGGATTTTTGATGGACCTCAAATAAGAACACTACTCAGAGATCCACACTTCCTTGCAACAATGACTGAGGCACAGGCAAGAACTTGGAATGCTTTCTCTAATGTGGTGCAGAACTTCTTAGGGAACAAGAAAGCGGACAACTATCAAGAAATTGTGGAAGAGCTGCTCTTGAGTTTACAAGCACTTGGATGCAGAATGAGTATCAAGGTTCACTACTTACACAGTCACTTGGACGAGTTTCCAGAAAATCTGGGAGAAGTGAGCGAGGAGCAAGGGGAGCGCTTTCATCAAGACATTAAAGTAATGGAAGAACGTTACCAAGGTCGATGGGACTCGAACATGATGGCGGACTACTGCTGGAGTTTGATGAGAGACATTCCAGAAGCTGTACATAAGAGATCGGCCAAAAAGAGGAAGTTTATGTAACTGTAACTTGATCTTAATACTTGCACTATTTCTACCGTACATTAATTGTTTTTTTTTCACCCTTCAATGTTACATTTAAATATTATATGTGCATTAACTTTCCAATTTGATATTAACAATTTTTGGTTATAGAAAAATACAAATTATAATGCTGAAAAATTTATGTATACATGTTTAAACCGTCAATTTTGATCCAAAAGTTTACGTTTCCCAGCAAAAGTGCAATATGGTATATCTCAAAAACCTGATGTGATAGACAAAAACCAAAGTCATATTTGGATTCTGCACCCCAAATTTACTTAAAATCCGTTTAAAAACCTTGTGCCAGAAAAATTGTGTTGACCGGTGTAATAAACGATCCAAGCTTCCATCTTGTCTTACAAATGGGCGACGTTGATATATTTATTATTTTATTTTTTCTCACATTATCCAACTTATGATCATTTTTACTCTACATTATCCTTTCATTATTAATCAAAGAGACAAAACAGTGATGATATACCTATGGAGGAACACGTGTTTACACCACATAAAATCAAATCATACATATTTGTCGAGTGTTAATATTTTGGACACACTAGACAGGTTACCTCTCTCGCCGGCCAGTTGGTATGCCTGTCTCTGTAGCCCAGGATGGTTGGTATGCGTGGCTCTGTGTCCAGGGAGTGTTGATAGGCGTGGCTCTGTGGCATACTGATCTTACGACATTCGGTAACCGAACATTATATTAATTACACCCAAATAAATACATATTGCATTACTTATCTAATATACTATAGGACTAGGCGTCTGTCTGTCTGTCTGTCTGTCTGTTCTGGGCAGCAGAAACGGCACAATCGTTTTTAATCAAACTTGGTGGAAAAATCGCAAAAACTTCGTAGAGTGGAACAAACCTGGTCCCATGTCGATGGTTTCTTTAGGAAGGCATTAATTAACCATTTTATTTACGATGGAAAACGATGCAAGTCTACGGACTTGGCGCACCCTAATTAAAAATGCAAGTCTACGGACTTGGCGCACCCTCATTCGCTGTACGCTAGCCAAGCACGAGCGTTCAAACTTTCAGTGGGCACGAACGTGCCCGCGATCACTTGTATTAAACTATATACCAAAGTAAATGCATGTCCCAGTATGTATCATCCGTGGTCTCTTAGTGTGGACCGATACTTTTTTGAGATATGGTACGGACGTTACCGTGATATATAGCAATCTGTTTCTGTTATCTGTCTGTGTTTGTCTATTATGTAGGAGATTAATGAAAGGAAAATTTATAGCCTCAAGGGAAGAAGGACATGAGAGAGAGAGAGAGAGAGAGAGAGAGAGAGAGAGAGAGAGAGAGAGAGAGAGTAACGAAAACAACAATGCACTTTTTACAATTATTTTATTTAAATTATTAAACGATTTTCTTCTCACTTGTTGGTAGAAATAGTGAGAGATTTTCTTAGACCACGTGTGAGAGATAGTGAGAGAGTGTGAGAGATAGTGAGAGAGACTATTCCTACTAGTGTCTCCATTAATCATCTACTGACAGTCTTACTCGACATGTTTGGTGACTGTACGTACGTAAATCCCACTGTCCCGAAACAGTCTGTGGTGTAGAGAGAGATGGAGAGGATACTAACACTGCTACCTGTGATCACAAAACATTGGAAACAACAGCGTAGTTATGATGTGAGGAGGAGGGGGGTGGTGGGTAAGGAGGAGGAGCAGGAGGAGGTGGAGAAAGAGGAAGAGAAGTAACTTACCTGAAGGGAGGCTCAAAGGTGGAGGTGTTGGCCATATTCTGCCAGCCATCATGAGTGAGGATGGTGCCCTTGGTGATCACACACACGGGGGACAACACAGGAGACCCGCCGTGTTCCAGACCTGCAACAGTGTCCTCGATTATTACTTAATCAACAGGTGAAATAATCCGGGGTGTCTTATCCTCAGGTGATCTCTATATTATTTACACACTGAACAATATCTTAGTTTTTCTACGTTATAATTAAATTATGTGTTTCTTGACTTTTTAATTAAATACCAAAGGTGGGATAGAGATAAACAATACAGTACAGAAGGTAATTAAAGGTTAATCCACACAGGTAATACAAGAGAAGGTTGGGAGGCTTGGCACCGCTCCTCACCTGGTCACGAACAACCAGAGCAGCATAATACTAACTGAGGTTAAAGGGAGCCTAAACCACACAGGGCGGATGATTACATAACACCTCCACTAATGGAATGATCATTAGACAGCCTGAGTGCCACTGACTGACTCCAGGGTAGTAATGTCTTCTGTAATCCCATCTTGATCTACAGACTGTTGGTGTTATTTGTCTCTGTTTGTCGCTCATTAGGTTAGTGGGTGTTGGTGCTTCTGATAAAGGAAGAAAAACTCATTGTGGACTTTTAGTTTAACTCCAGAATAGTTCAGCTGATGGTTGAGGCTCTCTAAGGAAGGAGGACCTACTGAGCTCCTTTACTCTGAAGGAGGAGGACCCAGTATACACTTCTTCCTCCTGTTACATATAATAATCATGTGAAGATTGAGACTCACCTAGAAGGGCGACCTCAGCTGTGGGGTGGACCAGCTGATGCTTCATGGGCATGTACACATACGGGATCTTCTCGGAGCCTGAACTGCTAACGAAGTCCGCCACGGAACACTCTGTAAACAAGAAAGATGTCAGCTGGATGTTTCATTACTGTCAACTATACTGTTTAAAATCTGTGAGAGCTCTTCCTTGTAGACTAACTCCAAAAGGTATCTTTACAATTTTGTGTTAGACAATATGACACAACGGACGGAGAATTTTGACAACCCTACCGAGACAACAGGAGTCGCAGTGTTCATTTTTAAATTCATCGGACCTCTCCCTGAAGATACTTTTTGGAGCGAGTTACCGAGAGAACTTGTGTCGTAGCTTTTATGACGTTAGCACCTCTGTTATTGTTATAATCCCAGGGCCCACTTCTCTCTCCCTGTCAATAATCGCTTGGCTGGTGCTTGTGGTGAAGGTAACCACTAATGCTCAAATCACGCCAGACTCTGTGCTTGGAGTCTTCCTTCTGTCTTTAAAATTTACTTTGGGCAACTTTATGATCCAGTCTGTGTGTTTAATTGTTATCATTACCTTAGTGTTCAGTTTGATGTAGGTCACGAGGTAAACTTCACCTTGTAAAACTAACTAAACACTACTAATGAGTATTCGATTCCTTCCTGTTGACACACTTACAGGTGGATGAGAGGCTTTAAAAGGGGCGTTGTTTCCACAGTCTCCTACACAACAATATATTACGTAAGCAAGATAAGACTACCTTGTGTATAGTGTGTTTTACCCCGGGTGGTGAGGTTTATGATAAGCAGGTCGGGGGAGGGAGAGTCAGGTGGTTAGGTTAGGTTTTCTTTACAACACCAGGAACCATCATTGACAGGTGAACCTCCCAACAGTATGTTAATAAAGCAGTGGCTGGAACTCGGTATTCAAAGCGTAGCATATATCATACGCCACAGGTATTTGGGAATAATACCAGACGCTGCGTATTGAAATGTATGCGTATGTGTGGCCAGCACGAGTAATTGAAAATATTTACGCAGCTTATTATTTAAACTATGTTGGCGGGGATTCTAATGGTAAGGGAAATTATGTACCCGAAATTGTATGCAAAAACCTGTCCATATGACGCGGAAAAACAGCTGAATCTATTGTGGAAAAGGAAAACTTTCTAGAAGTATTGTTATAATGAAAAACTTTTGTTGATAAAAGTGTCTTGCTGTTTATGTTGTTATTCAATGTTTCAGTAAATCTAACTTTATGTAGTGAGGATAAGGTAAAGTTACTGCGGGTTATGTCAAGAGAGTTTTATGTCAAGTTCCCTACAGACTCTCTCTCTCTCTCTCTCTCTCTCTCTCTCTCTCTCTCTCTCTCTCTCTCTCTCTCTCTCAGGTCAAGGCCGGCACTTCTCACCAAAAACAACCAATCAATTGATCATTATAACAAACAAGTTAAAACATTAGTAAAGAAACTGTCGCTAAAAACCTCAAAACTCAACCAATTAACTTCTATTAATTTAAACAACACAAGATGAAATAATATGACCAGAAACCAGTGAACGCCAGACGTTAACGGGGCATTAAACATCGTCTGGGGTGGCAATGACCAACAAAAAAATCCCCTTCTTTTTTATCTTCAATGTCCCTGATGTTATTTGCAGTAATACCAACACCTCATACCTGGCGGGTAACCCTTACACCTTGATCCATCAGAAGCACAGGTTAATTAGTGTATTGTGTTCATATTTGATTTTTACATATTGACGTCATTGATGGTTACTTGTATACGAAGGAAAAGGTGATACTCCTTAGTGATGGTGAGTGTGTCAGTATGTTTGAGGTGTTTAGTACCTGTGTTGTGTGTTAATGAAGGATATGTAATGTATGAGACTCCTGATGTATTTATTATTGAGTTGTGTTTTATGATGTATGTATGTAAGTAATGTATGTATGTGGCGACCTACTGTGTAATGGTCAGCAAGCGAGTGCACCCGAGTTCGACCCCCGGATCGTATTCCGGGGTAATGGTTAGCCAGTGCAGTTGGTGAGTTGTCCGGTCTTCTCGGACAATTCCTTGACACTGATTCATGCAACTCGTTCACTCAGGGTGTGGTTGTTGTGTTGACGGCTGCTTCTACACCTTAAACAAATTCACGCCAAGGTGGCCCTAGGGCCGGCCTGTGTGTTGCTGTGGCCGTGTTATTTTTTATGGCACTGATTTACAAGTGACAAATTATCTCCTGTCCTGAAAAATCTGGCGTCAAGTCATTGTGTTTATCCCGAGATCAATTATCGGCTTATACATTATTCAGAAGATCAAAGGATTATCTATAATTGTAGTTTCCGATTATACTGTATATAACCGATCTCAAAGATAATAGGATCATCGTCAGATTTAGGGGGTTGTAAATTTTGTTCCCTCCAAAATACAGCTTAAGCAAATACACCTCAGGTTAATTTTCCATTTACCAACTAGTTCTAATGTCTAAGTTCATATTCAGTATCCAGTTATGACGGTGTTGTGTAGTTGTGAGTTAACTTACGTATGGGCCGTAGTTGAGGCTGTTTTGACCTTATGCTGTATATAAGAATATGATTTGACCTTTGATCTACAGTAGTTAGGTTAGCTCTATGGGTCATTCGTTTTGTTTTACACACACACACACACGCACGCACACACACACACACACACGCACACACACACACACACACACAGTGGGCCAGAGTAGCGTTATACCAGCAGTGTAAACATAATGCACCTGGGGGTAATACCGGCCTTACCCTGACGGTTGTTGCAGCGGGAGATCATATCGGTACTGGTGAAGCTAATTCCCTGTCCCCGCCAGCCTGACCTGTGGACCACGGGGGCAAGGAATATCTCTCTCTCTCTCTCTCTCTCTCTCTCTCTCTCTCTCTCTCTCTCTCCACCCCTGGCCCAGACGTGGTAGCTCTCCTGCGGTGCATCTAATACCTTACACAGTTAATCAAAACCGGAGATTTATTGCTTGCTTTATTTCTTGTATTCACTACACTCTTGAAAAAATGGCTTATTTTCAATGCAAAATTAATCTTATGAATAACAAGGAATCCAATGTATTTTTTATCTGAGTGTTACCATTGACTTCATCTGCTAGGAGGTAGATGCTGTTTGAAGACGCAGGGTGTGGAGCGAGCGGTGTGTAGCAGGTGATGATGGGAGGGCGGTAGAGGGAGCGACGCCTGATGTATCGAGCAGCCAGTGTGATTATACTGCCCGAGCCTTTACTAATAACCGGGTAGGTCCTCCAGCTTGGGCGGAGGAACTTAACTTAGCTGGGAGATGATACACTCCTCTCCTCTCTCCAGCCGCTCGATATTGCAGCTGACACCCTTGACGTACTGTACCAGCGGACATCTAAGACGTATTAGTTGACACCTATCTCCCTAATGATGCATGATCTGATGTCTCTGAACCTCGCGACACATCCTCTGACATCCTTATGCCTCCATACCTGACTTCTTGTCCTCGCCCATTTTGACAAGTTACTCTCGTTTTCATGCCGCCCTCTGATGACGCCTGAGATACTTTCTTCCCTCCCTAAAATTGTCTCCCATCTCCCCCTCCCCTCGCTCTTCCACCCTGACCTGGCACCGCGTAAGTAATAACCTTGTTGGCTGGATAGGCAAAATTATATCTGGGGTCAAACAAACACTTCTCACCTAACCTTTGTGTTTCAGTACACCTTTTTGTCAAATTGGTGACAGAGAAACTTACTAAGTGTTGCAAATAATAGCTAAACGCCATCGCTTGTGCCGCTTTGATAGATAGTCCGCGTGATGCAGCTCATTGTCAACCATTCGTCTCGTTGGTCAGCAGAGATGGGAATAATTGTCGAGGCTACAGTTTCGCTGTTACACACAGAGTGGTTAGGCTACCGGGTGTGGTGTCCAGAGGCACTGAGGGAGAGGTACAGCGAGTGTTGTGTCGGAGCAGTCAATAGACAACGAGCGATCTATTCTTTAATTTAGTGAAGTTCCATAAAGGTAATGGTAGCAGACGTTGTAGGTAGGAGGGAGCAAGGACCGGTCAGGCGCAGATGAATGGATCTTGTCCCTCCGTAGGGCAGCGCCTGGGTGCTCTCGCCACCACGGCTCCACACAGGGAGGCTCAGGCCAAGAACGGCAACCCTACCCGGGGGTGAGGGGGCGGGAGGCGATCACAGGGACGATTACAATCACAATTAAACCTTCGGTACCTTAGAGCTAAGGTATTAGAAAGTCAGGTATTCCCGAGTGATTAATGAATACCTCAAGTGGTTTTGTGTTTAGTACAACACGATACGCAGTGGGAACCTGGTGAATTATATCACATTTAATATTCATGCCTATGTTGTTGGTTTTAAGACAACCTTTGGCTCTTAAATGTATATTAAAGAATTTATTAAACACGGAAAACATAGATTCCATGATGCTTGATATCATAAAAATGCAAATATCAGGATTTATTGCTTCACCAACTTTGCATCGGACTGTGTAGTAGCAAGTTGACTCCACCACTCCTGTCGCAACAACGCTGATAATGTGTTAGTTATGCAGCAAGTATGAAGATATAGTGATACCTAGAGAGATATTATCCCCGTGGGCGTCCAACACTCAACTCTGACCAGCTCCTGTAAACGAAAACAAGAGTTGTGTCTGATGCAGCTTTAACACCTGACACTCACTACAATATTTCGTTGTCTTTCTACTATTGTTTCTCACTGGCTCTGTTGACAGTCTTCTAATGCAATATTACTTTTATTCTTATTGTGACCAACACTCGACTGTGTCTCGTGGGTGTGGGTAGTTAATACAGTGTTCAACATTTTAGGATCCCGGTGCCAGTACTGTCAGAACTACTGCTGAGGGCACCTCGTGGACTTACAGATTAGAGTAACGGGGTTCAGTATAGTGAGATATATAATTTGTATTTTTTCGGGATAATTCTTCTCTCGCAGCTCTTGGCTGTACCCTAGGGCCTCCGATGCTCAAACATTCGATTAAAGTTTTTACTCAAAGGTCAACAAAACACAACCAATCACGGAAACACGGAAATGTTGTAGTGTGCTGCTCTTTACTGTACAGGAGTCAGTTAT